ACCAGTTCCCAGTCTTCTCTGGCCACTTATACATGGCTCCTCACTTTCCCCTCCCACACACACACTCACACACACATACACATACTCACACACACATACACACATACACACACACCAGTGCACTAACTCTGAGCTGAACTCCAAGGTAGACTGACAAATCTACCTGATGCCAAAGTCCAAGCTCTTTATGCTGGTGGTCCACACATAGGGTGACCAAGTATTTCAGTTTACTTGAGATTTTTCCAGTTTTATCAGTGAAAAGTTTCATGGCACTGGAAACTCCTCAGTCCTGGGCAAATAAGGACAGTGGGTCCTTCTGGGCTCTAGAACTCTATGGGGAGCTATTAATAAATTGTGATGCCTGGGACAACCAAACCCCCTGCCCCTGCACCCCTACCCCCAAAGCAACTTTTTTTTTTTCTTTTTTTTGAGCCAGAGTCTCACTTTGTGGCCCTCAGGAGAGTGCCATGGCATCACAGCTCATAGCAACCTCAAACTCTTGGCTCAGCCTCCCGAGTAGCTAGGACTACAGATGCCTGCCACAAAGCCCAGCTATTTTTTTTTAGAGACAGGGTCTCCCTCTAGCTCTGGCTGGTCTTCAACTCCTGAGCTCAGGCAATCCACCTGCCTCAGCCTCCTAGAGCCTCTAGGATGGTGGTTCTCAACCTTCCTAATGCTGTAGCCCTTTAATACAGTTCCTGTGGGTCTCGAACCACAGGTTGAGAACTGCTACTCTAAGCTTATAGACATGCGCCACTGTGCTTAGCCTCCAGAGCAATTTTATCAGAATTTCTGAGGGGAAAAAGAGAAGCTACTGTATTTTCTTTTTTGAATTGTTTATTTTTTAGGCTACTCAAGTGAAGCAGTAAGATACACTGCATTTTAAAAAGACTTCCAGCAGACTTCAGTGTATGTCCTGGCTTGAGAATGATGGTAAGTCCATACAAGCAGGAGCTGAGTGCTCCTGATCAGTACTTCCCAGCCCTTCAGCTCACCTCACAAGGTTTGCTATAATGTAGGCACTCAGGCCCAGCTGCCATTAGAATCACCTGGGAAGCTTTCAGTACCTACTGTGGGGGAATTTAAAATGGTATAGCCACTTTGGAAAACAATTTGGCAATTTCTTAAAAAATTAAACATGTACCTACCATCTAGCCATTCTACTCCAAGGTATTTACCAACAGAAATGAAATCATATATCCACACAGAGATCTGTACATGAATGTTCATAGCAGCTTTATCTGCAACAGCCCCAAATTGAAAATAACCCCAAAGTCTATCAACAGATGAATGTGGAAACAAATTATGGTATATCCATAAAATGGAACCCCTACTCAGCAATAAAAATAAATGAAATATTGATGCATGTAACAACATGGAAATTACGTTGAGGCTCGGCGCCTGTAGCTCAACCGGCTAAGGCGCCAGCCACGTACACCTAAGGTGGCAGGTTCAAATCCAGCCCGGACCCGCCAAACAACAATAATGGCTGCAACCAAAAAATAGCCGGGCGTTGTGGCGGGCGCCTGTGGTCCCAGCTACTTGGGAGGCGGAGGCAGGAGACTTGCTTGAGCCCAGGAGTTGAAGGTTGCTGTGAGCTGTAATGCCACAGCACTCTACCCAGGGGGACAGGTTGAGGCTCTGTCTCAAAAAAAAAAGAAAAGAAAAGAAAAGAAATTATGTTGAATGAAAGAAGCAAGACCAAAAAAAGAGCACATACCATATGTTCCATTTGTATAAAATTCTAGAAATTGCAAACTAATCGATAGCCACAGATAGTAGGTCAGTGGTTGCCTGGGGATGGGATTGGAAGTGGGTTAGTGGCAGGTAAGTTTATTGTGTTGCTGTAGTGATGATTTCGTGGTTATATACACACAACAAAACTCATCAAACTGTGCATTTTTAAACGTACAGCTTATTAAACATTAATTATACATCAATAAAGCTCTTAAAATGATACAAAACCACCAGTGTCCAGGCTCCATCTGAAGAGATTCTGTATTGTGGCCTGACATGGGCACAGGTTCAAGTACTTTTCAAAGGCCCCCAGGTAGTTCTGAGGTGCGATCCTGACAGAATCACAGCACAAATGCCTTCCACCTGGAGCCACTCCCACAAACTGCTGCAAGAATTACTCACAGTGTTAACAGTGAAGAGGAGGCAAAGGCCCAGGTCTCCATGAAGGAGAGACGGGTGCAGAGGTTGAACATGATTAATTAAGCCCAGTTTGGCTCACTAAGGGATGGCACTAACAGAACATAGCTACTTCCACTAGGTGGCATCTGGACACTTCTCGTTAGCATGATTTCCAGGGAAAGAGATTCAGGGCTGTCTGGGGAATGCTGGGAGAGACTGAGCAGGGAACTCTGTTCCTTCAGTGGAGAAAGGCCCCCAGATTCATTGGACTGGAGAACAACCAGCAACTTGGGAAATGTCATCAGGGCCCAATGTGCTCTCTTCAGCCTGGCAACATAGATGGAGAAAATTGTATTATTGCAATTTCAGTGTGAGTACAAAGAGCAGAGTTATTTATTGGCGGACTAAGTGAATTACTCCAGAAGAGTAAATAAATGAAGTTCTCAAGGAGAAGCCCCAATTCCTTATGTTTTTAGCTCTGAGCATAAACCTGTGTCCAGGGGACTAGCACTCACTCATCTCTCCCTCATTAAGGCGTGTTCCTTATGATTTTTACTTGGCCTGGGGCACTGTGACAACAGCCTACAGAGAAGCTCCCCCTCACCACCACCACCTCTGGCCTTCTGCTTTTCCCAGCTGTTGTTCTCCCCACAGTCTCCTCTCCGTGTCTCATACCTGTTGCCATAGCCTGGGCTCTGCTGTGCTGACCCTGATGCAGAACCAGAGTCTCTCCCAAGGGATCTGAAGGGTCAAGCACTCAGGGGCCATGATTTGAAGGAAAGGTGCACAATTTAGGGCTTCCTCTCCGTACATCCCTGTCCCTTCTATCAAGGAACATAAAGCAAGTCCCCAAAGGAGTGGCTCAGAAAACACTGAGAATAACATCCACATCAGTAATTTTCAAACTCTCCCCAGAGGCCATCAGGGACCAGGAGTCAGAGTGATCCACAGGCGTCAGCTTTGTCAGCTTAGTTCTGCCCCAGGGTTAGGGCTCCCCGTCTCCAGTAAACTCTGTCACCAGACTCACACAGGCAGGCAGCTATGCCTCTGTGAGAAAAGTACAAATAAAGGAGCTTAGATAATGTGATCTAATCATTCTCTTTTATCTATTCTACGTGAGCTTGGGGAGAGGAGAATCCCACGTAGGATTTCTTTGAAGGATTCTGTTGCTAAAGAGTTTGCAAAGTAGTTTGTAATATCCTCCTGAATCTGGGCACATACTTTTCGAATCTTTTCAGGGAGAGTTCCTTCCCTTCTTGTGATATCTCCTAGACTTTGGGACATGAGTGTTGTCCCTCCTCTTTGCTCAAGGTTGGGCCAAGGACCCAGACGTTAGCTATAAAGTCTCCTTCTCTAGTTCTCCCAGCTGCTAAGGGGAACTCGTGCATACAGGACTTTTCTGGCCTCCCGCCTATCTCAGAATTCTCAAAGGAGGGCTGCTGGCTGGAGATATGGTCCCCACGCAGCCCCTGTACTGTAGCTACTTTCCGTTTCAGACCTTTTTCACTCTCCCAGTGATACCGCAATTTTGCTCTTCAGTAGGTTCTTGGTCTCCATGATTCGAAGAATGAATCCACAGACCACAAATCAGTGGTAAGACAGGATTTATTTACAGAAAATAATCCAGAAGTGCCAGAGCTCCTGGCAGAGAGCGAAAACCCAAGTCGAGAGAGAAAAGCTCTCTCCATCTCACTGTCTGTCTGTGCCTAGGCCCTTTGTCCAGGAGTACATATAGTCGCATGGGGCCCTCCATAGTTACATTTAGCATGTCTGGGAAATATCTGGGTGGCAAATGAATGGCTACAATTCCTTTCATTCCCAGGCCTAGGAAATGGGGATCCCCATTTCCTGCCCACCCTCCAGCCTGTTGGTTCCGCTGCTTGCTGCCACCGCAGCAACGTCGCCAAGGTGGAGGCAGCAGCAGGGCCGCGCCCCCCAGCTCCATGAGCTGGCTGGGATGCCACTTGTCCTGTGTATCACTAGCATTGATATTTTCGTCTCCTCTTTTCATACTCTTATTTCTCAATTGCCGAAAAATTATTTTTATTAAATACCGATGGCGGCACCTGTGGCTCAGTGGATAGGGCACTGGCCCCATATACCGAGGATGGCGGGTTCAAACCCGGCCCCAGCCAAACTGCAACAAAAAAATAGCCAGGTGTTGTGGCGGGGGTCTGTAGTCCCAGCTACTAGGGAAACTGAGACAAGAGAATCGCCTAAGCCCAGGAGTTGGAGGGTGCTGTGAGCTGTGGTGCCAAGCACTCTACCATGGGCGATAAAGTGAGACTCTGTCTCAAAAAGATGCCAAGCACATCAAATTATTTTATAAAATGCACACAACGTATAAAGAATCACAACCTGATGAGTGCTTGTGTACTCATCACACAAGTTCAAAACAAATAAAAATCACATTGCTGTCACCACTGTGGTCCCAAGGATATTCTTCCTAAACCCGCCCCTTCCTTGCCATCTCCAGGGCAAACACTATGCTGAATTTTGTGTTCATCATTCCTTTCTTTCTTTTTTTTTGCAGTTTTTGGCTGGGGTCGGGTTTGAACCCACCACCTCCGGCACCTGGGGCTGGCACCCCACTCCCTGAGCCACAGGTACCGTCCCATACCCTTGTTTCTTTACAGTTTTCTCCACATGTGTGAATCTGTAAAGCATGTATTAGTTTGACGTTTTTAAACTTTATAGAAGTTGATTCATACAGTATACGTTCTCTTCAGACAATACTGCTTTCCAGACTCACGCACAGCCGCGCCCCTCCCAGAAGCCCCGCCTCCCGCCACGCCGCGCGGAAGGGGCGGGGCCAAACGACCGCGACGCCGGCTGGTCGTGCGGCAACGGCAGGACGCCCAGCCATGGAACCGGGCAGCAGCCGGGAGAGCCAAGCTCGGCAATATTTGGAAAAACATCGGATCCCAGAGCTGCTGAACTATCTCACCAGCGTCCTTCTCTTTTTCCGGCCTGGTAAGGGTCTTGCCTTCTGCTTGGTTTTTTGTTCCACCGGCTTCCGCACGAGGAACGGTCCCCAGAGATTCCCAGTCAGTTACACCTCCACGCCCGCGCCCCTTCCGCACAACCTCCTCCTCCACTCTGACACGCTCTCCCCGGCCGCTGGGCTGCTAGAACCCTGCTGCTGCTAATTAACCCTGTGACCTTCGGTTAAACAAGACTTAGGCAGGGAGGACTGCTCAATGGGAGAGAGGCTCGGGTGCCGGCAATTGGGCTTCACCCCTTAGTATACTACTACCCTAAAATTTGGTCTCTCTGGGAGATGGACACAAGGTCAGTACCGATCTCATGGGAACGGAAGGGGGGATTAAATAAATAATATGTAAAGCAACCTTCTGCCTGGCAAGCAATTCATGTTTCCAGTGCTACCTTTGCACCCACAGAGTTTTTAGTAAGGAAATTAAACAATTGGCAGGGCAAGATAGAACAATATTCTTCAGGAGACTGCTTTTTCTGACATGTTTTTATACATCTGAATCCCTTAAAGAATTTGAATCCTTTCATAATTTTATGCGGTGTATGACTTAAAAGTCACATCGAGGTGAAAAGGTTTTATGTCCTTCTTCCCAGGGTGCAGAATTGTAATTTGCTGGCCTCCATATGGAATATCCAAAATGCTAAAAATCGTCTGTTTTTCTGTGTAAGGAAATGGAAATGCCAAACATTCTGACTTTGCCAAAAACCGCCCAACCAACATGATCACATATAGGCTGATAAAGTTCTTTCTGATTGTTTTAAAGCAGCAATTACAATTTTTTAAAAGCTTCTACAACAAGCAAAATAGAAAGTGAAAAGAAATACAGACAACATAATGCCCTTTTTCTAAAAATGCACTAGAAAAAAGTTCCTATCAAAACTAACTTTTTAAACCTATTTTTTAAAAAAGTGACTACTGTCTCTTGCTGGTATTTGGTACTGTAATGTTGAAAATAGTCTTCTGACTTGTATGCCATCAGTATATATATAAGTAAAAAATAAAAAGAAAATGAAAATAATTTTCTTCCTTTAGATGCAGCAATAATTTCTCTGCATAATAATTGAACTGTTATTCCTGAAAGCCTAGTTTGGAGGCATTTGATTTGTCGAAATAAATGTTAGCAGTTCATGTTAGCAATTTCTAATAACATTCACTATATATTAAGAGAAATTTTAATTTTCCTCAATTAAGTGATATATTCGTTATGTTTATTCACTATATAATAATATTGATAACATACTTTTTTTTAAAACAGAGTCTCCCTTTGTCACCCTCAGTAGAGTGCCGTGGAGTCATAATTTATTGCACGCTCAAGACTCTGGGGCTCAATCAAGTCTCTTACCTCAGCCTCCCAAAAAGCTGGAACTATGGGTGCCCACCACAACACCTGGCTATTTTTAGAGATGGGGTCTCGCTCTTGCTCAGGCTGGTCTCAAACCTGTGAGCTCAGGTAGTCCACCCACCTTGGTCTACCAGAGTGTTAGAATTATATGCATGAGCCACTGAGCCCAGCTCTCTTCTTATTTGTGTTCACTGGGTAATTACCACCCCAACCCTTAGCTCTCTTTCTGTTCCAGTCTGGACCAATTGCTCCACTGCCTTGTTAAACAGCTATTATTCAGGGTTTCCCTTCACTGTGATCTTAAGAATCCTCTTTGCACCTCTCTAATGTACAGAGCCTGTTTGTTACACTCACCCCCTTCTTTTAAGGCAGTGTTTTTCAACCTTTTTTATATAACAGCACACTTGAACCTGTAGTTAAACTTCCGTGGCACACTTAAATTATGTTTTTGTTTGTTTGTTTGTTTTTGAGACAGAGTCTCACTATGTTGCCCTCTTTTGTTGTTGTTGCAGTGGCCCTGGCTGGGTTCAAACCTGCCAGCCTTGGTGTATGTGGCTGGCGCTGTAACCACTGTGCTACGGGCACTGAGCCCCACTTAAATTATGTTGATCAAAAAAAAAAAAAAGGAATACACAGACCATACATGGTGGCTCATGCATGTAATCCTAGCACTCTGGGAGGCAGAGGTTGGTGGATTGCCTGAGTTCAGGAGTTTGAGACCAGTCTGAGCAAGAGCAAGACCCCATCTCTAAAACTAGCCAGGCATTGTGGCAGATGCCTGTGAGCCCAAAAGTTAGATGTTTCTATGAGCTATAATGCCATGGCAGTCTACCAAGGGCAATAAAAGTGAGACTCTGTCTCAAAAAAAAAAAAAGAATATACTTATTGTGCTTTGAACATTTTTTGAAAATAATTTAATTAATGGTCTTTAAAAGTTTTCATGGCACACCAGTTGAAAATCACTGTTCTGGTTCGGCACCTGTGGCTCAAGTGGCTAAGGCGCCAGCCACATACACCTAAGGTGGCAGGTTCGAATCCAGCCTGGGCCCGCCAAACAACAATGATGGCTGCAACCAAAAAATAGCCGGGTGTTGTGGTGGGCGCTTGTGGTCCCAACTACTTAGGAGGTGGAGGCAGGAGACTCGCTTGAGCCCAGGAGTTGGAGGTTGTTGTGAGCTGTGATGCAGCAGCACTCTAGCCAGGGGTCAGCTTAAGGCTCTGTCTCAAAAAAAAGAAAAAAGAAAATCACTGGTCTGAGGGAACATACATATCCTTTAGTGGCTTCCTGAGAAAGCATGCTTTGAGGGGAAAAGGTTTGAGAACTCACACTTGATGATAACTAGAGTGGATACAATTCTAGGTTGGAACATATCGCCCTCAGAATTTTAAAGGCCTTGTTCTATCATCTTCTAACTTCCAGTGTTGCTCTAAAGAAGTCTGATGTCATGTTACTGGATTCTTGATCTGTGTCTGAGACAAGTTTTTTCTTTATTTTTAAAATTGTCCTTTTATCTTATCCTTGCTATTCTAAATACTTGTATGCTTTGCAGTGGATTTGTTGTTTTTGTTTTAAATGTGTGTGTATTGTGCTAGGTACTTTATGGTCTTTAAAATTTGTAGACTTTTTCCTTTCAAGTCTAGGAATTTTTTTTTTTTTTTTTACTTCACTTACCTACATCTTTCTTTCTGGAATTATTGTTAGTTGGGTATTGGACATCTTGGCCTGATTCTCTAATTTTCTTTACATCTTGATATACTGTATGATAATTTTGACTAGAATAATAAAATTTATGAGTCCACAGATTTTCTGGAGACTTTGCCAAATTGTTATTTTGATGCTTCTCATTAACTTAGACTGTAATGTTACTGCCCCTTACACTTCCCATCATCACTAGTGATTCTTTATAGGTAGGATGACTGTATGATTTATCATCCAAACCAGGGATATTTTGAGTGAAAGTAAATCCTATTAATAATTATGTCAGAACAACATAGCAAGCTAGGACTGTCCCAGGCTAACTGGAACATTTGATTATTTAAATTATGAGTATCTTAATGTGAATAACAAAAAAATGTGAATAACAAAATGTGAATAGGGCGGCGCCTGTGGCTCAAAAGGGTAGGGCGCCAGTCCCATATGCCGGAGGTGTCGGGTTCAAACCCAGCAAACCCAGCCCCAGCCAAAAACTGAAAAAAAAAAAAAGTGAATAACCAGATGATAAACAATTTAGGCCCAGCAGCCATAGCACCATGGTTAGGGTGCCAGCCACATACACCAAGGCAGGTTTGAACCCAGCCCAGGACTGCTAAACAACAATGACAACTGCAACAAAAAAATAGCCAGGCATTGTGTTGGGCGCTGTGCCTGTAGTCCCAGCTACTAGAGAGGCTAAAGCAAGAGAATCGCTTAAGACCAAGAGTTTGAGGTTGCTGTGAGCTGTGACACCATGGCACTCTACCAAGGGTGACATAATCTCAATAAATAAATAAATAAACAATTTAAAATGGAAAAGACAAAAGTACCATGGCAGCCAATCGCTCAACTGAATAAAAGCTTGATTTTTCTGAGTCACAGCATGAGCCCACTTGCCTGATTTGTATTAGCTTCCTGATACACAGTCTTTGAGACTCTCAGTTATAATATGTATAACATGATATATTATGTAAAATATGACAGAGTCTCATATGGCCATCTTAGTTTCAAAGCAGAATTACACTCCAAGAAGCACAGTCATTCCAGCAACCAAGAATAATTGGAAAGGAACCAAAGAAGAGACTCTAACTCATAATGCATAATAAAAACCACTCAAACCCCCTTCCTCCTGCTTCCTAACTGTATCCTCCATGGCAGCTGCAGAGCCTCCCAGGTACCAAATCTATGATACTCAGCCCATCCAACTCTTCTGTCTCTTGATCCTTATCTTGCCTTTTTCCTTCAGCTCTTTATTATGTCAACAACTTAACATCTCAAAGATTCTCTTTTTCCTTTGGCATAAAAAGCCTTGAATCTATCTGGCCTGTAGAAGATGTGCTTGGGGAAGACAGTCTAAGCAGATAAAGACAAAATTCTCTTTAACAGAAGATAGGAAGGGAAGTTCTGGGAATTGTCATACACTAATCACATACCTATCACATAAATAATTTATTAGTTTTAAAAGTTGAGGCCAGGTGCAAGTGGCTCATGCCTGTAATTCTAGCACATTGAGAGGCTAGGCAGGAGGATTGCTTGAGGCCAAGAATTTGAAACTGGCCTGGGTAACATAGCAAGATCTTGTTTCTACAAAATATAGCAATAAAAGGGCGGTGCCTATGGCTCAGCGGGTAGGGCACTGGCCCCATATACCGAGGGTGGTGGGTTTGAACCCGGCCCTGGCCAAACTGCAACAACAAAAAAAGTGAGACTCTATCTAAAAAAAAGCAATAAAAACAATTATCCAGGCATAGTGTAGTCTCAGCTACTCAGAAGGCTGAGGTGGGAGGATCACTCAAGACCAGGAGTTTGAGGCTTCAGTGAGCTATGATTGTACAGCTGCACTCCAGCCTGGGCAATAGAGCAAGATCTGTCTCAAAAAAAAAATTAAAAATAAATGAATATTAATAAGAGAAATGTAGTGAGTTCAAAGTCAAAGTTGGCTTTTTTTCTGTTTCAATATTTGATAATGTAGTTTAGGAAGAATCAACAGAAGACTTTGTACATGATATGATTTCCTTTAGTAGCCTATATGTTGCTATAGTTGATTAAAATTTGTTTAAAAGTCTGTCTACTTCTGACTTCAACATGTAAATTCCAAGAGGTGAAGAAGATGGAGGGGAAATCTATATATATAGATTAAATATTTAAAAACATAATCTGAAACTAGGTGCAGTGGCACACATCTGTAATCCTAGCAGTTTGGGAGCCCAGGAGTTCAAAACTACCATGAGCTATGACTGCATCACTGCACTCCAGCCTGAGTAGACAGAGCAAGACTATGTCTCTAAATAAAAAAAGAGACAACCTATAAATGGAATGGGAGATTATATGTGTTTACAAACTAGACATATGATTGAGAGGTTAATATGCAAAATATTTATAAGGAACTCAACTCAGTAGTAAAAAAATAACTAATTTTGTAAATGGGCAAACGACCTGCGTAGACATTTCTCACAAGAAGCATACAGATAGCCAATAGTTATTTTAAAAAATTTTCAATATCATTAATCATCAGGGAAATGTAAATTAAAATCACAATGAGGTATTCTCTCACAGCTATTAGAATGGCTACTATAAAAAAGATGAAAGACAGGGAGGTTCCAGGATGTGTGCCTATCATCTTAGCATCTCAGGAAGCTGAGATGGGAGGATCACTTGAGCCCAGAAGTTCAAGACTAGCCTGGGCAATACACTGAGACCCTATCTTGAAAAGACAAGTTAAAGAGATCTGTTGTAGGGCCAGTTGTGATGGCTCACACCTGTAATCCTAGCACTTGGGATGCTGAGGCAAGAGAATCCCTTAAGCTTAGGAGTTTGATACCAGCCTAAGCAAGAACAAGACCCCATCTTTACTAAAAATAGAAAAATTAGCCGGGCATAGTGGCAGGCACCTGTAGTCTCAGCTACTCAGGAGTCTGAGGCAAGAGGATTACTTGAGCCCAGGAGTTTGAGGTGGCTGTGAGCTACCACCCTGTGGCACTCTAGCCTGGGGCAATAGAGTGAGACTGTGTCTCAAAACAAAAAAGACGAAGAAGAAAATAGATTTTAAATGTTCTCACCACAAAAAATAAATACAAGTATGTGAAGTAATGCATACAACGTTAAAT